CTGGCGAAAAAAAGGCCCATATTTTAGCTGCACATGCCGCAGCAGGAAATTGGAAAGACCTGGCAAGAACAATCGATGTGCCTCTGCCAACAGCGTACCGTTGGTTAGACCAGGGTGCTGATAAGAGTGACTCTAGGGGAGGAGCAAGAAAATATAAAGTTACGCAAGAGCGTAAGAATTTTATGGCCGAATTAATTGAAAACTCTCCTAGGGTCACTCTTCAAGACATTGTAAATAAGTTGGTCGAAAAGTATGAGGTTCGTGTGACAAAAGAATGCATAAGAAAGCACTTGAACCCCATGGCCTTTACTTTAAAAGCGGTTCATTATGAACCAGAAGCTGCCAATAATAATAATGTCAATAAGGCGAAACGTAAGGATTACGCAGTAGCTTTATTAGAATTTCAGTCCCAAAGTGTGGCAATTCTTTATATGGATGAAACCAATTTAATCTCCATATTTCAAGAAGAGAAGGTCGCTCTAAAAATGGCACGAGGTGCACTACAATCGCTGCCGGAACTAGGGGAAATAACATCCATGTTATTGGGTGTATTAGTAATAATGGATTAATTCATCATAAAATTAAAAGATGTTCTTTCAAAAAAGAGGATGCGAAAGAATGGACCAGGGAGTGCCTTAGAAAGGAAAATGAAATTTATGAAAGGGGAGTTGTCTTAGTTATTGATAACGCAACTTGCCATACTTCAATTGAAGAAGTTGTGGAGGTGGATGAATTTAGGCAACACCAAATTTTCAGACCTGCCCCCTATAGTCCGATGTTAAATCCCATTGAAAAGCTTTGGTCAGTCATTTAAGCTGACGTAAAAAGAAATATGGCAGACTCAATTGTTGGGATTTTAAGAGGTGATGGCCAGGGATCTTTAACTACTAAAGAATTCCGCCTCAGCAAGTTAGAAGCGATGATCTCCGAGGCAATTAATAATATTTCCCCTGAGACTTGCACTAACTTCGTATCTGGAATACAGAGATTACTTCCCTCTGTAATTGACTTAGATGATGTAATCTTTTAAATAAATTTCTTAGGAACTTTTATATTTTTTTTTATATCCCTTTTAAGTAAAAATAAAAGAATAAATATTACATTTATTAATATTATATTAATTCTCAATTTGAAGTTAATTAATCCAACTTGAAGTTGATTATTTCTAATGTTAAAGTTGTTTTCCATTTTGAAGTTGATTAATCCATTTTGGAGTTGATTAATTTTTTTTTACCTGAAAATAAGTCCATTTTGAAGTTGATTATTATCATTTTGAAGTTGAAAAGGTATAGAAAGAGGCAGTTGAAATTTCTACGACACATAATGAGGAAAGAGATCTTAGGGAAAATTTGACATGCACAGGACAAATTGAAGGTCAAAAGGGCAAAGGAAATACCGAGATGTCTACTTAACGGGTTTGTGTAAATGGATGGTAGAATAGAAACAGCCAGGAATAGAGATGGGGACAAACATGGCTTAGAATTACAAAGGATTGGAAGTTTTGGAGAACCATGATCTCTCAAGTGCCAACGAACCACGATACATAGAATAAGAAGTGAATATTTCTTTTAGAATATGATTTTCTGATACGTCGGGTAACATAAGTGTCTAGATTAGCATTGAGGTTTATTTCTGTATATTAATGTAGATTGCTTGGCTGGTTAGTTTTGTTTAACGACATATCAATCTCTATGAATAATTTAATGACGATATACAAATATTTTAAAGGCAATTTTATTTATCTATTTATTTATTTTTTAAACGATAATAATGGTTTTAGAGATACAAGTCTTACTAATTAACCTATAGTTGAAGGAGATGAAGTGACTTCATACATTTCCCAAAGTTATTTGCGTGTATGTGAATATAACGAACACAACTGGAATTTGAACACGGCCCCCTGATTTACAATTCCGAGCCACTATCAATTACATGGAGGAGGCACGGCGGAGTAATGGATAGCGGCACGAATTGAGGAATCAGAGAGCCAAGTTCAAATTCCAGTCGAATCCATTGCATTCACTTACATGCTAATACCCTTTGGAAATGAATGATAAATAATAGTATTGTTTGAATTTCTTCTCTAGCTTTTGGTAAATAGCATGACAGACCGGGTTCTATAGCCTTGGATGGCAACTACCGCAGAAAGAAATGGCAACCTACAGCGGGAAAAATCTGCCTCGTCAGTCATGTATCGAAAGCGCGTATCAGGCATGGCACATAACTGACTGATCCATTAAACCATTCGCACATCTAAGCTTCTAGTACCTGGTAGTTCCAAAGCGATCAACCATCTAGGTACTGACCAGGTTCGACGTTGCTTAACTTCGGAAACCGGTGTTTCAACGTGATGTGATATTCTACATTGTATATTCATGTAGAAGGCGTTTCCCTAGTTTCTGATTATTTTTATTATTTTATTTTTGATTATTTAGTCCCTTAAGTTTTGTAAATGACCCCTGAAAGTTGAATAAGTGCACAAGCAATAAAGAGCTGATCATACTCCCAAAAAACTCTTAATATTTTCTTTAACCTTGTATGATTGATAACTTGTTGCAAAAGTTCCCAGCGTTAATAATTTCCTACATTTGCTGCTGCTCAAACAATAGCCGTTCAACCGGAAAATGTCTTCATCATATGATGAACCTGAAATAAGGCAATGTTTCGCGGCTGAAACATCATTATTACTAACGCCAGGCACTCCAACAGTACCTTACGATATCACCAAGTTTCATTATTTTTAAATTACATAAACACAAATTTTATAACTTTATATAATACAAACATGTATAAAGGTCATTATTTTATATGATATCAGACCCTCTATAAAATCACTATGGCAATGTTTCTCTTCTGAATCTATCTTACATATCTATAAGTCTACCATTCGACCTTGCCTCGAATATAGCTGCCACATAGGGTTCGGTGTTCCTGCTATGTATTTAGAAATTCTTGATAAAATCCAAAGATGAATCAGCATATATTATTGGTCCTGACCTGACCCCTGGGCTTCTGTTACTTTCCCACTGACGTAAAGTTAATTCCCTGTACCTTTTTCTATAAATACTTTCATGGTAATTGCTTAGATGAGCTCTTGGCTATCTTTTATTTGTGTCCCCATTTGTTTTTTCTTTAAGTTTAATTCCCCATCCTCTCCCTCGTTAGGTGGTCAGTGATGTCAGTTCGCTGGTTGGATGCGGGGCGCCTTTCGTTTTCGTGTGAGTGATTCTTTTCGTATTTGTTGTTGTGTCTGAATGAGTGCATGTCAGTGTGAGTGATTGGGATAAATGAATGGTTTATACTATTATAGTCCCGCATTGATTTCGGCCAGTGATGTTTCTGTCACATTTAGTAATTGTGGGGGGTTTTATTACTAATCTGATTTTCTTTAGTTTCTTGTAAATAGTTTTTGTATGCATATTGTAAATACTCATTGGTTTTTTTTTTTTTTTTAGAATTGTTGTTTTATTCCCCTCTCCCCCCACAGACCACGAATTGTAAATATGGGGACTAATTAGTATTTTCATAGAGACAAAGAGGTATTATGGTGGTTGTAGTAAGAAAGGTACGAATGAATGTGTTGTTTTGGTGAAAGGAATATTGTTTCGTACGATTGGGTCAGTGTTTGCGGCTAGCTAAGTTATAGTTAAGACAGAAGAAGACCGTCCTTTCCCCAATCCCCTTTTCGGCCTTGTGCCACATTTCTGTATTAAACAGAATAAATATCGCTCTTGGCTATGATGCCTAGACTTAATTTAAGTTCAGTACTAGATTAGCAACAAGACCCCATCGGTTTACAATTGAATCCAGACAAGTTTGATCTTCAAAAGTTTAAATTCAATGCCAATTGTTATTTACTGTCTTCCTGATTACTCTTCTATTGTTCTTACCTAATGCTTCTGTTTTCTAATTCTCTCACATCCATTAACTCCTTGTGTAGCTTTACTGCCTTACTTCGGTTGAATTCGATTAAAAAGAAATTGACATATAAATATTAAACTACTGAACTAATTACTACTAAAAGGAGTAAACAAGCAAGAGAAATAAGATGAAAGAAAAAACGAGTGAAGACTTAATGATAATAGCAACACTATTTTGCCTACGAAATTCAAATAATACTGCTACTTCTACTGCTAGGTAAAATAAAAAAACACCAATAAGATGCAAAAAAAAAAAAAAAAAAACTAGACAAAATTAGAGGATTTAATAAAATTTCAACCCTGCAATCTATTTACTGTTAAAATAGTAGACATATATACGGTTTGCATTCTCGTCAAAAAAGTCGACCTAGCTCAGTTAGGTTAGGTAGGTTAGTTAATTTCACGACATACCAACATTTTAGGGGTTATTTAATGTCGGATGTATGTGTATGGGTAGAGGGTCAAAATCACATAGGTCTGGTTTATATTAGTGAAAAATGTAGACATAGTTTCCATAAGAGTCAAAAAAAGGGGGTATAGGTATAGTTTACGCTAGCGTCAAAAATAATTCCCAAAGTTAAAAATGTTGACATAGGTCCAATTTACACTAGTCTAAAAAAAATAGACATAGACCTGGTTCGAACCCAGCTGGACAGCACATTTTCTTTATTAAAATTTCTTGAGTGCGCAGGCCGATAGACGTAATACAGACATTTTTAAAATAAAAAAATGCATCGTCTATTTCAAACATGAGTTTCCTCTAAAATAACGTTTGAAGCAATAAAAAGTTATGTACGTATAAAAATAAATGTAAGAGTGTATAAACTCTTACAGAGTTTGTGCTTTATATATATATATATATATATATATATGCATGTATAACACAAAATAGATGTAATTTTACTATTTCCTCAAGAAACACTTACTTTGACGCTTATACACGGATATATATATATATATATATATATATATATATATATATATATATATATATATATATTTTTAACTGTGTAGAGAAATTCGCCATTGTCAACAACCAGATGCGAACGCAGAAAATAGAAGGACGCCGAATCAAGAAAATCAATCTGTAATCGTAAATCGAACATCTTCAGTACTTACCTCATAAACAACTTCAGTGGCTGTTTGGAACTTGATTCCAGACCCCGACCGGTGCTGTTCAGCGCCGAACCCATCCGCAGAGAACGGTTCTTTAGTCTTGGTTGGAAGTGTACTCCACGACGTATTTGAATCTTTCCTAATGGCGACAGCAACATCCGGCCATGAGATGGCCAAATGCGACTGGCTAGTTAGGTTTCCCTGGTCGGTGACGCACTTGTCGTATGGGTTCACCTCGACAGCGTGCGACATGTTTCTCTGCTCATAGCACCGGATAATGCAGATTGAAATCGGCGCTGTAATGGCCACAGACACTGTCACGGCTACAAATACAATGACAATTAACAAGTACATTTGGATATTATCGTCCGATTTCATATGTACAACGTTAAGAATTTCTGCTGGTGTCTTGCTACTTACAGTCACCATCAGCAGGAGTGTGGTCTTCGTAGACAGAACCGGGCTACCACTGTCTTTGACCACAAAATGAAGCTCATAAGAGCCAGCGTCGAGCTGAGTTGGTTCACGAGTGAACGACAGCAGGCCGGTGTAGCGGTTAATATTGAACAATTGTTTGTCGTTACCGCCCGTGATTTCATATTTCAAGTAAGCGTTTTCCCGACTGTCCTTATCGGATGCTTTCAGTACAGTGATATTGTTGATGTTATCTGGGTGATAGTGAACTTCCATTGAAAACGGGTTAACGCTTGGGAATGTGAAGTAAGGAGTATTATCATTCTCATCCCGGACTTCCACAATTACATCGACGGTGTTGTTCAGCGGCGGAGAACCACTGTCCTTCACCAGCACCTTGAAATTGTAGATATCCTGAAATTCGTAGTCCAGCGACAATACTGTCGATATCAACCCGTCATCGGAGATCTGGAATGGTAGGAACTGCTCGTTGTTGGTCTGCAGGAAGTAAGTCAGCTTACCTCCGGGTCCCAAATCTGGATCAGTGGTACTGATCGATCCGACTGGAAATTTGGATTTTTGGTTCTCGTACACCGAGAACTTGTAAACGTCTTTTGAGAATTGGGGTCGGACATCGTTGACGTCCATTACCTTGATAGAGAACTTGTTTTTGCTGTACAGTGGCGGTGACCCTTTGTCTTGGCATCGGATGGTGATGTCATGATAATCTTTTGTTTCTCTGTCAAGCGGGTTCTTCACGGTGACTTTGTACTCTTTCGAACCGAGACTTTGCAGCTGGAAATTATGGTGGCTGAGGTCGCACAGGACTTCACCGTTCAACCCAGCGTCATGGTCTGTGACCATTACATAAGCAATGAAACTGCCGACTTTTATATCTTCGGAGATGACGGCCCGGTTTTCAACAGATGCCGAGATGAAATTGATATCGATGTTTGGAGGGTTGTTTTCCTGGTTGACCAAGTTGACTTGAACCAGCGCTATGGAACTCAGCGGCGGGCTGCCATCGTCCGTCGCTTCAACGAAAAGCTTGTACGTCAGTTGCTGACCAGTGGCGAACTTCTTTCGCAAGAAGATCTCCCCCGTGACCTCGTTGAGTTTGAAGTGGGTTTTGGCCACCTCCGACGTGTCGGGACTGAAGTGGTACGTGACCTTACCGTTCTTGCCTGAATCGGAATCAGAGGCCGATAGGGTGAAAATCGGAAGGGATCCGTAATGCTCATTTTTGACAGAAACGTTGTACTCGCTCTGACTGAACGTTGGGGCGTTGTCGTTTTCATCTCGCACGGATATGAGGACGTCGAGAAAGCTCTGTTTTGGCGGGGTCCCTCCGTCCTTGGCCAAAACCTGGACGACGTAAGAATCTTTGCGTTCTCGATTCAGTCGGTCCTCAAGCCGTATCGCGAGTTTCGATTTGCCGTAGACCCTCTTTGATTCGATTAAGGTAAAGGGCTCATCCTTGCTCTTCTTCAGTTGATAAGCTATTCTCGAGTTGGCGATGGCCACGTCCCTGTCAACGGCGTTTGGGATCGAAATCATCGTCCCTTTGCCGTCCCTCTCGGAAAATTCTATGCTGATTTGCTTTTCTGGAAACTGTGGTTGCTGATCATTGACATCCTGGATGACAACTTTTATTTTTTGGATCCTCATGAACGTCTCGGCTCGGCGAACTGCCACTTTCACAATCTCAAAACACTCCGTATTAAATCTACACATGGATTCAGCATCCAGGGTCTGGGCGGTATACAATTTGCCCGTTCTCTTAGAAACACGAAACAATTGGGCACTACCAGGGACGCCCTGTTGCAATTGACTGAAGGTGATTAGGTGGTGATCCTGTGGCGGCACTGTATCCATAAAATGTGAGTTGGCGGCAATGTCACCAACTAGAGTTCCTGGACTTTTCCCTTCTTCCACGTAGTAGGTGAGGTCCACGCAAAGACAATCGGGTAAAGTGGACAAGATCAGTAGGAATATTTCAAGCAGCATCTTAAAGGCTTTAAGTTTTAAAATATTGTTTTTTCGTCAGGTTGAGCTGATATTTTAGCCGCCGCAGGATCTGAAAAATGAAAAAAAAAAATCAAATGAAAAACAGTTGAACAGAAAACAAGAACAAAAATGTCGCTAGAAGACATGTAGATCTTTAAAGAGCTACAAGATAAAAGGCAGAGAAAAAGTTTTCGAGAGTATGTGTCTGAAGGGACTCAAGAGAAATCTTGGACTGTATTTTAGAGAATGTAGTTCTGATGAAATTCCAGAATGTATACAGGGGGATTCACTAAATAAAGCGTGGGTCAGTCTGTTCGAGAATCTATATCTGGAGGGATTCAAGATAAAGTATTTTGAGAGTGTGTGTCTGGAAAGTTTCAAGATTAATTTTCGAGTCTTTTGAGTGTGTATATTTGAAAGTTTTGTTTAACTGCTTATAAAGCAATTTAATATAACACGCTAAGGAAAACCCAGAAAAAAAAAATCATACATAGAAATAATAGAAGGTCTACGGAAACCAACAGACTATTTCACAAAAAAATTATTAAGCAACAAAATACGAAAGTAACACAATGCTCTCAAAACACATATGACATTATAACGCAAAAGACTAGACACACCATAACAATATGAAAAAAAATCAGCCCCAGCTTACAACAACGCATAAAAACATACAAATGTAAAAGTAAAAAAAAAATGTGATTAAACGCTTTTCCGGAACAAGATCCTTGGAGCTAAGTACCAAATACATACATGAAAAAATATGCTACCTACAACAACATTACAACTCAAAAGACTAAAAAGCTGATAAACTGAAACTAATAAACATTTTTCAATGAAATAGCAAACTTTTAGAAACAGCTAAAGCATTCAAAAACAAAAATTAAACAAAGTAAAAAAATAAATTAAATTAAAAAATGAAATGATAAATAACCAAAATCAAGGTCAAGATGATAAATCACAAAAAACATTATCCCATCGCAAAAAACTATCAACAATCAGTTCCACCCTTTTCCTCTACCCATATCATTTCATGGTATATATATATATATATATATATATATATATATATATAGGGGGCCGACACTATTTTTCAGACATTTTATTTTTTCAAGTTTTAGGTAGAACAGGCAGTCTGTACTGTTTTAGTGTAATGGCAATAACATTTAAAAACTGTTTCAATACTACAAATGGAAAAGCAGAATTCAAATTAGAAGTATTTTTATGTTTTTACAAATTTTCACATTACACAGGCGACAGTATTTTTCGGACATTGCAGAAACAATGCTAATAGTTTGTGGCAGCACCCTTTTTTTCAATGACTTCTATCAGTCTATCTTCATAATGTTCGTACATCTTGATAATAACGTCTCTTCGTGTTTCTAGCAGTCTATTTTTAGCATCTTGTACGCGCTGCCACAGTTCAGCCTCTCTGGTTTTTTCTGGCCCGTCGTAAACAAGCTCTGCAAGCATTTCCCATATGTTTTCAATTAAATTTAAGTCTGGACTTCTTGCAGGCCATTTCAGAGTAGTTATATTTGCTTCACACATCCAATTTTTCACTGATTTGGCCACATGGATTCTGCAGTTATCTTGCTGCAAAATAAAATTACTTCCCATTTCTTTTTTTATGAGTGGTAGGGCTCTCTTTTCCAAAAGTTCTCTGTAGCTTAAGCTTTTGACCTCCTTTTAACCATTCGAGCCACAAGTTTCCATTCGGAAATACCATACCCCAAACCATGACTCCTCCTCCTCCCATCTGTCTCTTGTTGAGAATAATATGTTCACTTTTTCTCGACCATGTACACCACCCGTCAGGTTCATCGAACAAGACGCTTTTCATCAGTAAATATCACTTTCTTGAAGTCGATATGGTTTGTTACCCATCTTTTGGCGCTTCCCAGCCTTGCCTCCTTGTGTTTTCTCGCTAGTGTAATTCTTTTCTTGATTTTAGCATACTTAAGTCCAATTTCTTGTAGCTTTCTTTGCACAGTTCGAACACTGACGTCAAATTCACACTTCTTTACTTTCTTCACTGTCACCTTTTCTCCAGATGATAACAACCTCGTAACACTTCTCTTCATTCTTCTTTCTGTTCTCTTGGAAATCGTTTTTTCCCGTCCTCTCTTCTTCTTCTCCCGCTCATAGTCTGTACTTAGCATTTATTAAACTGTTGACTTTGGTAGCTTCATCTCAGCGGCGATCTTTCGAATTCTAAGTCCGTCTTCTCTCTTCTTTTCGACCAAACTGATGACTTCTTTTGAATGCATTCTTCTTCAGGATTTTAATACGTTTTCGCAGTGAATGGTAAAGATACTCAAATGTAATGGTCAGGGTACAATTTACCTGGAGAAATTTGCATATTGTAGACATTCGACGACTAAATCATTAAAAAACCCGGAATTTGTGTCATGTCCGAAAAATAGTGTCGCCTAAGTTGAAGTAAAAATAAAGAAAACATGAAACCAAGGACAAACCCATCAATCAATGTTCATACCATTAATGAACAGTTACTGCTGAACTACATACTCATCAACACAAAAGCTCTTGGCAGCAAAAAACACCTTTAAGCACACTTTTCAAAGTGTCCCCAAAATAGCGTCGGCCCCCTGTATATATATATATATATATATATATATATATATATATATATATATATAAAGTGATAGAACCTACACAAGGAAGAGTACATCAAGGTTTGATGATTGTTTATGGCGTAAAACTACCAGCCATCATGCAATATTGATTTCTATGTCCACATACACACACACACAGAGAGGGGTGGCGCGGTGGAGCAATGGATAGCGTCTCGGATTGAGGAAATCGGAGAGCAGAGTTCGAATTCATTGCATTCACTTACGTACTAATACCCTTGTGAAAGGTATGGATCCATCTTTTCTTCCCTAACGAGCTATGGGTAAATAGCAGGAGAGACTGGGTGCGAACGGTCTAGGAGAAGGACAACTTTGAATTCAAAACCTGCGAAAAGTCGTTTGGGGACATTGTGGCATACTGTGTACCAATTCTATGTATTCGGCTCTCCCAAAAATCGTGGTTGGTTCTGCACAGGCCTTCACCAATATAATCAAATGATATGTATGGGCAGTCTGGCTCTAAGAACTGAGCTTGAGCCTCATACGTCGAAAACAACGGGAGAGACCACCACCATATATATATATATATATATATATATATATATATATATATATATATATATATATATATATATATAGGGTGTTTTACAATCTTTGAAACAAAATGATCGGGCAGAAATCAAGGACCACAAATGATAGAGTAATGAAAATTACGTTTATTGAAAGATAAAAGGATAACATTTTAGGATCTGCAACCATTTAGTCTCAAACATGAACCAAAAATGTCAAGAGAATCTTTAGAGTATATGCTCCGTTCAGATGAAGGCACTGTTGAACGCAAAGTTGTTGCTAAAACGCGTGCAAATTCCTCCTGGGTGAGCGCATGAATCTTCTCGGAGATGGCTGCCTTCAATACAGCAATTGTGCGAGAGTTGCCCTGTTAGATGTCCTTGAGGAACTCCCAGGGGAAGAAATCTGTTGGGTGGTTCAGTTCAATCGATTGAGGTGCCCATTCCACTTCAGCTTTACTGTAGATGAGACGCTCCCCAAACTTTTCACAGAGCCATGCCATGGTAACATCAGCGGTGTGAGGAGGAGCCCCATCCTGCTGGAACCACTGTTCCTCCTCATCAAGGTCCTCATACTCCTCGAACTCTCCCCATCTGAGAGGCCGCTGCTTTGTTTCAACAATTTTGAAATTTTTTAATATGAATCAAAAGAAAGAGTCCAGAGATTTTCATTAAATAATCTTTGCTGGTTTGCTTTGGGCTAAAAATGCCATCTAACAGTTTTTACACTGTACTGAAAATATTTAAAATAAAAAAAAACGAAAACAAAAAACGCGTGTCGTTCTTTGGCTGGCAGCCATTAATACGAAAGGGAAAAACAAGAAAAATAGCTAATGGCCAAACGGTCTTTTACTGCTTCTCCTATTCAATGTCTTCCTCTTACTCCTCTTCTTCCTCATATTAATATTGTAGTAGTAGTAGTGTTTTGCCTTTGCATTGTGTACTACGAATTGCCCCCAACTCTCAACTAGAGACTTCAAGAGACAACAATTTTATTTTGCATCAAAAGATGCAAACAGAAAAAAATATGTAATTTTCACAGCATGGAGAGAAATTTATGCAAGATGTAAGAAGTACCTATCAGTATGATATTCTGCAGTTTATATATTTTAGGGCTTTCAGGAATTTGTTCTCCATATTCGCTTGTTCTTTTTGATATCACTCCCAAATCAACAATGACAAGTGATGTCGTTTTGAGATGTTACATTCTAGAGATTTATATTTCGAGGTCCACGTATTTACTTAGTTCGTTCGACGTTATAAAAGATGTGTTTTTTGTCGGCACGGGCTGCTATATCCATCAGAAGCCGATAATAAATATAATATTAAATTATAAAAAAATTGTTATTATTTTATTATTTCCTTTGACTGAGTGTATATTTCTTTCCGGGTCCCAACCAGAGACCTTAAGTCAAAAGTGGCATCATGACATTTTCCACTGGGCGTTTTTGAAAAAAAAAAAAAAAAAAAGAAAAAAAAAAGGAAGAAAAAAGACCTAAGACTACACATATTTTAAATAGATAAAGCCCTTTGTAAGGTGTGAACTGGACTTGTGAGTACAATCTTTTTGTATTTCTTTAAGGCATGGGCTAACAGAAATCCCTTCAATGAGCCCTTCAGAACCTTTTCAATCAAACCGAGGGCTCCAAATACAATAGGAATTACTGATATTTTCATGGACCACATTATTTAGATTTCCACTTCAAAATCCTTGCTTTATTATTATTATTATTATTATTTCATGCGTTTCCATATTCAGTTCAAATGTCAGGCGGTTATAGCCTCGGGTTGAGTGACAGTACATCATGTCAAACTTTTATAAAATTTTAGTAAAAAAATTTATCCAATATGAACGTATGGAAAATTTATCAAAACTAATTCAATAAAACTCAAAAAGTAATCTTCCTTTGAGAATTCATCTTTGCATAATTTAATAAAACGTTATTTTCTTTCAGCTTGGACAAAAAAAATCTACACTTTATAGTAATTTTTCAGTGCGATTTCGAAATTCTTGTCAGTCACAATAATTTGTTTTATTAAATAAAGATATATTTTAAGAATAAAAAAATGTAAAGTTTAAAGTCATTTTCGAGTATGAACCTTTTTAAAAAGATTTTTGTTTTACTTTTTCCTTTTAACAACTGTTAGATTAATTTTGGTATGGATGTACAAAAATGACACGATTCTGATATCTAGCTTTAACTATTATTCAATATCGGAAAACTATTATGAATTAATCTAATTTCATTTCTCCCGTTCAGCCAGTTACTTACTTTTAGTTTAAAATATTGCAACAGAAAAGCATTTAACAAGAATGTGAAGTTCCTATAAGGTGTTGATAACTCTCTTGATAGAGTTAGGTTTGGCAATTTTTTTCTAAGGGGGACATAACTGTAACAATTACTTGTATATAACGCGACGACCAAGTAATCTCAAAAATTTGAAAATATATCTAATATTTTATTGAATTTTAGGTCCTTTGGCTTTATTGTCTTACTTACGAAGACGCCTGTTGAGGAAATGTTAGAAAATTACAAATAAATTTTAACTTTACTATAGTTTCCGCACTTATTTTGTGCTAATGTCGTGTTTAGACATCCGTATTTACAAAAGTCGACACATTTATACGCACATATAAATGAATTCGAATCTTTTTTTAATACATTGTAGGTCGTTGGATTGTGGTGAGGTTTTCCGTTTATGATTAGTCAATGCAGTGTTAATTTGATAACAATATCGTTTGACCGCTACAAATTAACACAGAATTGTAAACGATTTAAAACTTTATAAATTATTCTAATTTAAATTAAAAAATTAAAATAATTCTTGTAAAAATTCATTATTCATCAAAATATTTTTGCTTACGACAATAATTTTTATAATATATTTTATACATAAAAGCACTTAAAACATTTTCCAATTAAATATTGTCTGTTTTACTGCATTTTTAATATTAAGATCCAGAGCAGATTTTCGGTAACTGTTTCCTGTTTGAATACCCCCCCCCACCAAAAATTAATGATTTAAATTCTCTCTCCACATAAAATAATATAAACATTAAGCGATACAAAAAAGAATTTTACGAAATTTCATAAACTAAATAAGTGTAGGTTAACAGATGTCAAAAAATATTTTTATAAAGATTTTCAAAAAGAGAAAAATTTAAAAAAAATAATTTTATTAATTTGTGAATAAGTCGTAAAAATTTTATTCAAACCTGGCAATTATCTGATTATTGCAAGAATTTCCAAATCAGTAAGTTTGGAACCACAAAAAGACGATAAAATTTCCCATATTAATTTATGGTATAACACTGACACAGGAAAAAAAAATTAACCAAAATTTCGAAGGTTCGAGAAAGGATTAAAAAATATTTTTTATATAAAAATATCCTTTGATCTTTCTTCTTAATAATGACGAAGAACGATAAATGTTGTTTTTATTAAGTTTTGGGCATTTTTCTATCATGTCTGCTCATTTTTAGCGAATCTTTAGAGGTTCCTATTATCATCATTACTGTTGGTTTGATGTTACTGATGAAAGCAATTTTGTATGTTTGCGCATGCGCTGTGTTGCGTTGGATTTTTTGGTGGCGAGAGGGAATTGAGTTTTTGTTCTTTGTAGCCAATGGGCGTTTGATTTTTTGGGAGCGCGTTGGCCTCTGGCAAATGTTTATGCCTACCTATTCTAAAATTGCACCCAAAGACGTTATCTTCGCTTATGTTTCCCTTATTTCCATTTCTTTGCCACGTCTGAAGTGCACGTATTCCTTTTAGAAACTTGTGTTTATTACACTTAAAAAAAGGTGACACAGACCCCACCCCCCCACCTCTTTCACTCTCTCTCTATACCAACCCTCAAAGGCACACATATTTGTAATATAAATATATAATCTTTACTGTTCAATATCGGAGATATAGCATTTATGGATATAGACAGAGTGGATATAGGAATCAACAATGCATGACGACTGTCAATTTCACGATTCAAGATCATGAATTATATATTTTGCTCGTCAGTTAAACCAGCCGGGCATGTCTCTTGTGCATCTCTACTCATAAGCAGGAGAGCATCCTGACTGGTTGTCGAGAAGGTTGTCATGTTTGAAGATCGCATGAAGCGCAAAATTGAACCTTACCATGCAGCATTAATTCCCATATCCACACTGATATATATATATATATATATATATATATATATATATATATATATATATATATATATATATGTGTGTGTGTTATGTAGTGGTTTCACAGTGGAGGCTTGTATTTGTACTAAGTCGGTCCTAAAATAGGTTCGACGTACAAAACGTTAGGAACTTGATATAATAGATAATGACGCAGCAATCTAGTTGTGGTGGCTGATACTTTAATATCCGACTAACGGTCGTCCGACATCGACTGACTGACCAACTCTCTGAACCACTCGCCCTACTACTCTTGCTACTCCTACTTATTATAGGTGGGAGAGTAATTTCTAACAATAGAATAGGTGTGTTTCACTATAACAATATATATATATATATAAAGTTAAGTAGTTAGACAAGCGTCTTCATGTCAGAATGAGAAACAAATCATTCCTCTGATATGAAGAAACTTAACTAACTCCCTAAAGAAAGCGAAAGGCGTTGTCAATAAAAAGCTTTTCCACTTTGTTTAAGTTCTTCATTTTGTTCGGATTTTACATCCTACTAACGTGTGTGTGTGTGTATATATATATATATATATATATATATATATATATATATATATATATATATAAATCAACTTTAAGGAACTGAGCCCCACCTGTAAATTACATGCTCCTTTTATCAAAGCCTATCACCGTATCGAGAAAATTTGGCTGTGATGTATATGCCTTATCAGACTACGTTTCATGATGGGTATATAGGACTTCGAAGATCGTCCTGCTAGGAACATTCTATATACTAAGAAAAGTGCTGTCAATTAAGTAACAATTTTCCTACAGGGCCTAAGGACCATAGTTTGGACCCGATGATACAAAGCAAGAAACAACATACACAAATGATAATAAAAACAATAGCGTATAATGTATTATCTCCAAGAATCTCTTTGCCTCACAAGAAACCTTGGAGATGGCTGACATTATTGGGAGTGCGCAGGTGGCAACAATGCTTAGAACACTTCATGTTCTAAGGAAAGTTCTGCGCACTTAAGCTACGGACGGGAGCTGAGATATGACTATTATCGCCTAACCGAACCATCTAAGATTCACAGGGGGTCTCAAATCATGATTGGTTCTCACTAATTCCCTTTGCGAGGGTAGGGTTGAATTCGAGACATACTGATCAGTACATATATTGGTCAATGTCATGCATTTAACCTCCTTCGCATAGAGAATTGGTGGGAGCATAGGCCACCACAAGTTGTATAGAATGAAGAGGTTACTATCCTCTGGGATTTCAGCGTTCAGATTGAGAGAGAAATTCAAGCAAATCGACCAGCCGTAACTGTGAAAAATCATGTTGAAAACACCTGTCTTTCGATAGATGCTACTGTCCCAGTCAACAAAATACATCTTCGAAAACCTTTTACAAGATAAGTAAATACAAGGACCCCGTGATAACAGTGTGGCAGTACAGTACAACAACATTTTTCCATGGGTAAACCGTCATTAAATCTGGCGTGCTTTGACTTCCGGCTACGAAAACCAAGCAAAGCTGAATAGTATCTTTAAACGCATATATTTCTTTGACTCTTGAAATAGGCATATCTGCTCAGTTTCGTAACGTAAACCAAGTAATTTGTAAAGAAAGGAATGGATTTTAGATAACCATTAATAACTGTTATATATGACTCCTCTGTTGCACCAAATACAAATGCCACCCAGAAAAGATATGCCGGCGGGAAATTTGAAACTTATAAAATAATTAGGAATTGTTTTTATTTCTGAAACAAAAATAATCGTGCCGTGGAGAAAATGATTTGAAATATAAGCGTGCCGTGCCAAATAAGCATTATGCAGAGTGGCTGGAAAATTGAAGGACATCATTTAATCGTGCCGGCACTTATATTTGATACACAGGAGTCTCTTCCAAGCAGTTAACTTTCTCCTCGGCTTCTGTTCGTCCAGAAAGCCATTACGTCCGTAGAAAATTTGATTAATACTCTACATTTGTGGCCCGAGTTTTACCAAAATCGATAGAACAATAACCACAGAAGAAATCGCGAAGAACAATAGAGTTGTTTCCCTTTTACCATAGTTACCGTCATTGCTTTCACTGCTGCTGTGACTACAACAGTCATGTGATTTCATACCGGACGAACGTGATGTTTTCAGACAAAGTAAGTAGATAGGAATCGAAATTAAACATCACGTCTGAGCGACAAATGACGGTCGTGCGCGGTCAGTTGGGAATGAACAGGGCCAGCGAATTGCCGGCCAGAAAATAATAACGCTGATTAATGTTTAATTTTGGTGAATCGATTTGGTGAACATTTCCTTCCTCTCACACACACCATGACACCCCCTCAGCTTGGAAGACCTTTCCCTTCGATAATTATTACTACTAATTTTTTGTAGGTAGGAGTAGTAGTAGCAGGAAGAGTAGGGGTTGTTCACTTGAATTTTATTACATATAAATTTTCTTTCGAACATTCCTTCTTTTTCAATTTTTTTTACTTTATTTTGCCTTCATCGTTTTTATTTTCAATCATTCTGGATTTCTGTCCAGTCAACCTTTTCTGGTTTTTACTTTTTTTCTTACAATTCTTTTCTTTCTATTCGTTTGTTCTTCTTTTCTGTATTTTTTTGTCTTTTTTTTTCTCACTTTTATAGTTTTATTGCTTTCTAATATTCTTCATTTGTTTTCTTTTCTTGTTTTTCTCCGCACCCTTTTCTTCTAGTTATCTCTTTTTTCCTCTTTATTTTTCTTTTTCTTTATATCTTCTTTTCTTCCTCCTTCTTCTTGTATTCTTTTTTCTATTTTCTTTCCTCGTCATCTTTTTGCTCTTATTTTCACTTTATCTTTTTCAATATTCTTCATTTCTTCATAGTTCTTCTTCGTTTTCTCTATTATTCTTTTCTCCTCATTCTCTTTTTTTTTCTCTCTTTCTTTTTTTAAACCACTTTTCTTGTTTTTCTACTTTTCTTCTTCATCTTTCTTCGTTCTTATTTTTCTTCTCTTCTTCATTAATTTTTTTTTTCAAAATTCTTTTCTCTTCCTCTTTTATATATTTGGCTTCCTATTCTTCTTCTTTACCACATTATCTTTTACCATTTTTTCCTTTTCTTTCTTTTCCCATTCTTCATTTACTTTTCCGTCGTCGTCTTCTGTGTACCAAGTCCGTTTTCTTCTCTTTGCGTTTTGTCCTGCTTTTCTTTTTTTTTTAAATATGTCTGCCTTTTCTTAAGTTTTTCTTCTTACCTTCTTTTTTTTAGCTCTTTTCTCATTCTTTCTTTGCTTATACATTCTTTAACTTCTTCTGTATATATTCTCTCTTTATTATACTCCCTTTCTTCTTACTCGTTTTCTCTACGTTTTATGAGTTTATTTATGTCCTCCTTTTCTTTCTCTTTTTGACTTTTTATTCGCTTTGCTTGTTATATCGTTTCTATTATTTCTACTTGTCTGCTTACTTCTTTTGTTATATCCTTCTTATTTTCTTTTTCCTCTTTTTCCTCTTTTTTTTTTTTACTTTCTTTCTCTTTCTAGGTTGTTTTCCTCCTTCTCTTCCTTCTTTTACACTTTCTTAATTCATCCTCTGTTTCATCTTCTTTCTTTGCGGACTCATTATCCTTTTATTTTTCTCTTCTTAATCTTTTTTCTTTTCATTCTCCTCCTCCTTCTCTTTTCTCCGACAAGATTTTTTTCTTTGTTAGACTGTTCTTTTCCGCTTTGTTTATTCTTCTTTTTCTTCTTATACATTTCTTGCTTTGTTATATTGGTCCCCTTCTTCTTCTTCTTCCATCATCATCATCATCATCTTTCCTTTTTCGTTTCATATCGGTCTCTTCTTTCAATTCTCTTTCTTCTTCTTTCCATACTTTGTCATTCTTTCTTCTTGTCATTTTCTTCGTTCTTCCACTTTTCTCTACCACTTTAGTATTGCCTTTCATTTTTGCTATGCTGTTCTCCTCTTCCTTGTCCCTTTCTTTTCTTTTTTTTCTTTATCTCTGTTATGTCATTCTCTCCCTTTCTTTTTCTCCTTCCTCGTTCTTCTCTCCTTTTTTCTTTCTTTCTCTTATCTTATTTTCTTCCTCCTACTTGTGGTTTTTCTTCGTGTTTCCTCTTCATTATTTTCTCTTCTTATTTTGTTGTGACTCTCTCCACTTCCCATCCTTTTCTTTCTTTCTCTTTCTTTTCCATTTCTTTCTTCGTCCTGTCATTCTCCCCCTTGTTTCTTTTGTTTCTTCTTTGTTTGGCTCTTTTTTTTTTCTTTTTTTTTTTTTTTTTACTTTTCCCACTCTTTTCTAAAGTAAAATTATCCTCCCCTATCACCGCCATAGTTACTACTACTACTACTACTTTCAAATATTAAAAAGTATAAATTATACTGAAGAATTTACCAAAGCGCTCTAATAAGGAAACTGGTCTTGGCAAACCAATTCACTTCTCATTCAATATTCTACTACCCACTTTTAATTTCCCCTTCATTCTTCTTGTCGTCTGCTCGTTGAATTTCAGGGAGACTCACGTTTACCTACATGCAGAAAAATACCGAACGGGAAATCTTTTATGTTTACAACGCACACGCACGCATGCAGTATAAAATGGTATAAATATTTTTCATTATTAATTTTATAAAACTATAATAATAATAATAACAACAATAATAATAATAATGAAAACAAAATTGCTTCACCAAAACTATTGTTATGCCTATAATAATTAGAGCCCTGGGCACGATCAAAAACAGATTCCGATAACAGCATTAAAATCCCTGGCAGCCCCTGATTATAAGAGATTCAAAACGTTGTACTGTGTGACAGAGTTCACTTATCAGGAGATTATTATCAATGCAAAGGAACTGTAAACAATATATGTGTTAAGTAGCACTTAACATCAAAGTCTGTACCAAGCGAATGCATATATTACTATCTTACTTTATCCTAAGACACGAGGAAAGACCAGGTAAAGGATTGTGTTGACGAGAATGCAAAAGAAGGTTATAATATCAGGAATGGCTCTCATGGCTTCTGATCTCAATTGATTGGAGGTGTTAGCATGTACATGTTTTCTTTTTGTTAATTAAAATGGGCTATAATAAATATCGCCTACAGCATTACAGATTTTCTTGTCAATTACCTGACCTGAAGCAGTTGTGCTATCCCTAAAAAGACCGACGCATTGTGCAGTCTCTTTTCATGATCGACAGTAGTAGATAGCCATCACTACAAAATGTCGAGAGTTTTTTTTTTTAAGTTTTAAGGATGAGACATCCAAAGCAATTTGGGAGTCACATATTCATCGTTGGGATAATCTCAATCTGAGTAGACTGGGTTACTTGAGCTGAAGGTATTTCTAATTGGACCCAACTTGGAAGGTTATGCGTTGCTTTTTATCAACACCTGTCACCATATTGTGCACATCTAGCTGTAATGCGAGTACCAAGTATGCCTCTATCAAATTGGGGATAATCATGGATATTTTTTATATTTGTGCCTCAGGATCACCTTGTTGGCACACTGCTCTCTCTCAATAATAATAATAATGAAAAAAAAAATGGCACCTTAGAACTATTGTTGTACATATAATAATTGGAAGTCTAGGTATGGTTAAGAAAGGTACAGATAAGCACATGTATAAGATCCATGGCAGTCCCTTTGTACAAGAGATTTAAAATACATACACTATGTGGAAGTGCTCATCGACTACACAGGGTATTATCAATACAAGTAATATATAAACAATGCACATGTTAAGTACCACTTAACATCAAAATTTGTGCAAACAGACTGCATAATTTATTACGCTGACTTGACCTAGGTCTTGGGTAATCGATCAAGAAGAAGATAACAACAACAACATCCGCAGCATCATCATCAGCAGCAACAACTACAACAACAACAATAATAATAATAATAGTAGTAGTAGTATTAACTATAATAATAATAGCAGCAGCAGCTACAGAAGGCTGTGAAGTTAGTATTCTTTGGGACTTTACTATTCATACGTATAAAAAAGCTCACAGACCAGACATTAATTAGAGATGACAAACTAGCAAAAACAGCATTCACAAAAACATGGCAGTGCCATCAAATAACATATATCTATTAAAGAACATGACAAAAGAAATATAAGGATATATACTAAAATTCAAATGGAAAATATGAGACACCAAAACTGCTGTAATACCTGTAATAATTTGAGTTCTGGGAACGATCAAAAAAGTACGAAGAAAAACATTAAGAAGATCTATATTAGTCCCTGTTTACAAGAGATTCAAAAAATGGCATCGACGAAAATAAGTTTTCCTTTTGTCTTTCAAACACGCACACACATATTATTCGAAAATTATAACATGAATATATAATAAAATCACTACAAAAATAGCCATTTTGTTTCAACATTTCTGGTGTCTTATCAAGTGATGTTGTTGAATGTAGAATAAAGAGTTTTAAAAGGTTCAAATCAACCAAACGCACTTCGATAGGGGAAACACTGTTACATCAGCTGCAATGAACAAAATACAAGTATATGAAAATTAAAAGGAAAAACTTGACAACGAACCTTGGTTATAATATTTAATGCCTTAATGTTAAGGTTAGACTCAAATACAAATCATTCTAACTGATTAATATTCAATTTTATTATAAAATTGAAAATTAAAAATTACCAATTTTAAATTTAATCTCTATTAAGTTTAAAATATAATAAAATTATTTAAAGGAGAAACAGGAAAAAATGCATATATTTTATTATTTATTTGTTTTAATTGAAAAGCCAAAATCTCAGAATAAACTTTAACCTAATGAGGATGTAAAGCATCGTTACAACTTAGATATATTTGAAGTGGTGATATGGGCAGTGGAGGATGAAATCTTGTAAAAGACAATACATACACAATCAGATTATAATACACAAACATATATATATATATATATATATATATATATATATATATATATATATATATATATATATATGAAAATGTATGACAAAGTGGAAAAAAAAAAAGTTTTTCGTGTTATACGTTTTGTCCTTTAGAACATAAGACGAAACGCGTCACAAAAATCTTTTTCCACTTTGTCATACATTTTTTCCTCAATATTGTTCTTGATATATAAAAATATATATCGTTTTCTCATCCATAACTTAACGAGTTCGTGTAAATGAATAGGAGAGCAAGGAGTGTGAGGGAGAGTAAAATGACAAAGTTTGCTAAGAGCTACAAAAAAAAAAAAAAAAAAATGATCAACCACATCCTAAAGGGACACACCACATAGGAGAAGAGGAAGACACACTGACGTCAACAGTGGAGTTTCTTAAAATTCATTTAAATTTAAGTACAGTTGCTTGTAAACTAAATGCTTATAAAAAGAAACATTTTCTCAGTCAGAAGCTAACTTATAAGGTGAACATGCCTTCTACTGCTCCACGGTCATAGATAGTGATAATTACTTATTGAGCTGTAGAATATACTAGGATACTTCCGTCATTACAGTTGGTTCCCAAAATAGTATATTACTTGTAATTGTTTTATTTTATTATTAGTTATTATAATATTATATATATTTTCTATGAGTATTAGTTAATCCCCTGATGTGCCTAATATATCAGTTAAACTTTTTCATAAATTTGTATACATGAGAAAAAAAAAGCATTACATGCTATCTACAGTTTCTGGCATCTGTTGGTGCCCTGGAAGTATATTCCCGTAAAGACGACTGTATTATGCCAATAAGCTTAAGCTAATAGTGTAATGGTTAGCAGATCACAAAGAGGAACCGACGAGCCGAGTTCAAATCCTAGTCTCGGGTATTGCATTCACTTTCACACTAATTCCCTTGGGAAAAGCTTAAATCCATCTCTTCTCTTGCTAACTGAATGGCAATTCTGAATTCAAAATTATGGAGAAGGCAACGCGAAAATACTCTGCTACATTTTTCAAAAAGTCAAAGCAATTCCTAAATAGTAAGGAAATCTCATCTGTTACTTTCACTATCGCATGAATGTCCCTGGAAAAGGCATGAAACAGTCTTTTCTCACCCATCAGTGGAGTATAATATACTCCAGAGTCTGTAGAAGAAGGATAATTTTGAATTAAATTTTTTTGAGAAGACAACAAAGAGCTACTCTGCTATATTTCTCAAAAAGGCATGGCAATTCGAAAATAGCCAAGAAACTTCATGTGTCGTGTTTTCTTTCGAATGAATGCCCCTAGGAAAAGCATGAATCTGTCTCCTCTTCTCTTAAATATGTGTTAAAGAGTAGGGTAGACTAGGTCCTCGAGCTTTGGTTGGCAACCAGTCAGATAAAGTTAACTTTCAGTCCAAACCTGTAGAGAAGGCAATGGAAAACTACTTCATTATCTTTCCCAAGAAGTCATGGCAATTCACAAATAAAAAAAAAAAAGAATCGTTGGAGATCCATAATCGCTTACGTTCAAAAGTGACATGGCATTTAAAATAACAGTACAACCCCCATATATATATATATATATATATATATATATATTGACCAAGCTCTTTAGTGTTATAGAACACGATTGGTCTAGGAGATGGAAAACTCTTACACGAAAAGCCTGAGGTATATTGTCTGCTTCGTCTGTGGCATTTATTTGCACCGACTGAGTGTATCAATAGTTCGAAAAGTGTGGATGGTTCTGTACAAGCCTTCACCACTTTAATCAAATCACTTGTGTGGGTTTTCTGGCGGTTTACCTTGATTCGTTCTTATTCATTATATATATATATATATATATATATATATATATATATATGAGGGCTAAAAGATAATAGTCGGTTACCTGTTTCCAAGAACACCCATCCAATCCCTCTTGCAGACCACTGCTCAAGCACATTTGCATTTTTTCAACACCCACAGAGCCCATCTTTAGTTTATACTGAAGCTATGCTGAGCAGATGTTAGTTTCTCGCTGAAAGTGCATCATCTGGCATGATGAACAGTTTAAACAGCACTAGGTATATTTACCCAACCTCTCCATCAAGGCTGGATGTGACACAAGATCGTTTTAACGTGGAAAGCACCATATGCCCCCGCCCCGCGACCATTGTCATGTTATCCAACCTCTATAGTGCAATGAGGAGGGAGCTACCGCAGGGTTGGAATTCACGAAGCTAGGCAACTGCATCCATCTAGATGATGAAATTTAGAGATGGTGGGGATCGAACTCACTAGATTAATAATGGCCTAACTACGGCACGAAGAGGTGCGTCATGTAGAGTGTTATTATAGACATGGGTGAGAAGCGTCTCTCGGAAACTTTATTTTTGTTTTGTTTTTGTCGCTGT